CCACCTGGCAAATCCACGTGCCCATCTAGGGGCCCCTAACTTCCACATGGGCGGTTTGGTTAATGCCACCCCTGCCAAATTCTTTCTCACATAAACACAGACACCGTTTTAATGCCTTCTTCTCCCTCTTTTTTAATTTATGTCAAGAACTGTTTAAAATGCAGGAAAGAATAAGATGTGTTCTAACATTCACTCACATACTCATCCCCAGAATTGACTGTAGTTAATATTTTCCACGTACGCTTCGTCTTTTTTATTTTAATCAAAGAAATAAAACATTCCAGTTAATGTTGAAGCCTCCTTTGTTCTCCATCAGCAAACCAATTCCTCACCCTCTCCTCAGAGACAACCACTGTCATGAGTTCAGCACATCTTCCAGAATATTTAAACACATTTTGTGAGCATGTGTGTTTTCATGAGTAACGTGTGGCTGTGTGTGTGTGTGTGTGTGTGTTGTGTGGTTCCACGTTGTACGTGTTGTCCCCTAATTTGCTTTTTTAATACAACCTTATGTGTTTTCCGTCTCTCTAAGCTGCCTGTGTGGAGAGAGGGAACACCCGCTGAGCCTCTTCTCCACTTTTGCCTACGTGTGACTGTAAAGACAGAACCGTAGCCGGCGTGCAGGTTACCCCACGGCAAGCACGGTTTGCTCATTGAATCCCCACAACCACTTCAACCCCCTTGCACACAGGGACCTGAGGCTTCAGGGGCTGGCATGCCAGGGGTCGGCTTGTGATCCGCTCGCGTGTGTCACTCCTGCCCAGTGTCATGATGCCAGCATGGAAGTGAGGTGGTGTAAAACCCTGGGACCCAGGCTGGGTGCCCCAGCCCCTCCATCGGAAAGTCCTCCCTGTGCCCTTGGGTGCAAAGAACACCAACAGTCACGAAATCTTGACACTGGGCGGCGCTGGAATGTGGGCAGATGGTTTCTCTTTCTGCCTCAATGTCTCACCTCAGAAATGGGATTCTAGCAGGCTGCCCAGCTACCAGACAGATTGCTGGGAACCTAGCCTGATGAAGCACTTTGCAAGCCCCACAGTAGTGTGCAGATGGAAGACGCTGTTAGGAAGGCTCCCGGCCCACTTTTTCACTCCTTAACAGACCACCTACCCTATTCCAGGCACAAGCCCCCGATTTTCTGCCCATGACAGTACTTAATCCTCATTCCTGCAGCAGCCCCTTTAGAGAGACTGTTCCTAAGTAAGCTCTTGTTTTCCTGCCTTGTTTAATTACCACCATGGCAACGACATCATTTCCTTTTTTTAAAGCTATATATATATATATATATATATATAAAATTTGTGTGTGTGTGTGTTTCAGCCTCATTACGGGTTAAATTGAGTTTTATGAGTGTCAACCCAATCAAAATTTATAACTCTTTTCTCCAGAAAAATTGCTTCCAAGCTTCAACCAACCAGTCACAGGGAAGCTTTGGAACGCAACCAAGGTACTGTTGACACTGTTCTGTACTCAGATCGTGGAAGGTTAGCTGTTCTCCCCAGAGGGACTATGAGCCTTGAAGGGCAAGCGCTATGTCCTACACGGATTCCGCATCACACCGGTGTGCCAGGCTCAGGAGTATGTTGAATAAATGCTTGCTTAATTCTCCAAAGCCCAGCTCCCTTGTCTGCCTCCAAGAGATGGGTGCTGATGGGAGTGTCTTGGGCGTCCCTGGGAAGCCCTGCTGTAGTCGGTAAATCACAATACTAGCCAACTTGCCTCACAGATGAGGCCTGGGAAGCAGTGTGTCTTATCCAGACTCATTTGGCTGAATGGTACTTGTAATAACAATACCATCAGTGTTTCTTTAGCACTTAGCACTTGTTCTAGATGTTTTATATTTGTTCATGTATCTAATTGTCGCCAAAAGAAAGTTAGATATTTTTATTATCTTCATTTTACAGATGAGGAGACTGAAGCCCAGAGAGGTTAAACAGCTTGCGTCAGGTCACAGAGCTGGGAAAGGGGCAAAATGGAGATTCTAACCCAGAGCCTGTGGTGTCAACCAATGTGCCAAACCACTCAAGTTCATGATCTATATTAAAGCCTTGAGCAGTAGGCAAGATAGGTGCTTTTTAAAAATGCTTACATGTACATTCTACCAAATGCAGACAGCACAGAAAGATACAAAAGTCTAGTAGACTGCTCTGGAAATTCTTCCCTCCCTTGCTAAAGTCTTGATCAATATCTTGGCAAACATGCCTATAGATAACCCTCTCTGAACACATCTGTGTTTAGATACGTATTTACAATCTCCCGCACATGGGACCTCCCTCGAGCTGCTCTTTGGTGACCAGCATTGGACAGAAGAGACTGGAGTTCAGGAGAGGTGAGCCCAGCCTCCAGGGCCAGCCTTGGGACTTCAGTCCAGGGTGGGGCTTTCTCTTTTGTCCCAAGTGCTCAAAGCAGAGGCCACACGCATTGTTGACACCCGTTGCTCCTGTTCCTTCCTCCCATCACCCAGTCTTGGCTGTGAGCCAGGTTGGTGTGTACCCTTGAGGCTCCTTCGTCTTCCTGGGCTTGTTACCTACTAAGGAAGAGACTCAGGGTACTTGGCAACGAGGGATACAGTTCTCAGGAAAACTCAATAAAAATATCAGTGGAGCCTCGCAGGGACTGAACAGTGGCAGTGGTTTCCTGGCGCCCGGAGATCAAGTCACACAGTGATTGTGTATGTGGCCCCAAAGTGGACTTCTAGTGCCACCTTACCATTTCCCTGTTAAGCAGCACTTAAAGTTGTTTGGAAGAAGTTGAGGGCAAATGGGATCTGATATTTGGGGAGGGAGAGATGCCCATTACCTCATCCTAACCAACGTCCCTTCCTACTGATATTTTGTTTTAGGGTTGGTATCCGGTTTTGCTGAAAATGAAATCATCTTTCAACTCTCAGGCTATGTTAGTGAAAATGAACTCTAATGTGATTAGCTATTAATGCCGTGTAATGGAGGATCGGTATTAAATTGAGGCCTTCTGATCCTATTACTCCACAAACGCTCCCTCCTGCTCAGGCTGCTGCCCTGCCAGCCCCCTTCTCCGGGCCCAGACGAGGGGCTGAGGTGCTTGATCCCCAAGCCCGCGGCAGGAGCCTGGCTCTGCCTAAAGCCACTCCTGGCCAGACCTCTCTTCCTTCATTGCCTTGGGTTCCCTGCCGTGGTGTGGGGGGATCAGGGGTTGGACCTCAGGAGGCGTAATTTGGATCTGCCTGTGCTCTCAGAGCCAGGAGCATGTAGTTGAGGATCATGAGCTTACAAGTGCCAAGTTCTACCTCCACATCCAGAGGCAGTTGAAGATTTTCTGGACAGGCATGCAGCTAGAAATCTTAAGAACACAGTCTTTACCTCTTCTGCACCCAGCCCCTCTGCACCCCAGTCCTTTTTGTGAAGCTGACTTGAACATGATAGTTGTCAGTAGCTGCTGTCACTTGTCCTGGCTATGCCTCCCTTTCCTAGAGGGCTGGTATGAGACACAGGCTGTGGCCCAGCCCTGGTGTGTGCCATCACTTCCGATAGGAGTTGGGATGGGTGTCTGCTGCCCCACGCAGCGTGGACCCCTCACTTCCTTTGACCTGCCAGAGGAAGGATGCCTGTCAGCCATACAGCTTGTCTCAGAAGTGACAGGCATGTGGGAGCACAGGCCCAGGGCTGAAAGCACCACAGGGCCACCCTTGTAGGTCTGGCCCCACCCACAGGCTGCATCCCACCCTGCAGATGCCCCAAGGGAGCTGTGTGGGCCTGGGAGCAAGATAATCCCCCGCCGAGAAAATTGGCCAAGAGTGCAGGCTCTGGGGCTGGTCAGATGGCATCACCTTCATGTATGAATAATAGCATTTTTACAAAGAGAGTGATTTTTCTTGTGCTGTTTCCAGAAAACTGCTTTCAGAGGCACAGACTTTGCACACAGGACGGTAATGACTTTTTAATGACCTTAAGGGGCCTGGGTGTCCAGGCAGCAGTGATTCAATCTCAGTGGGAGGCTCATCGTGAGAGAGAAGATGGAACACCTGAAACCAAAGGGGGAAAAAACAAACCACAAATACATATATTTTCTTTGGTAGCGGTACTTGGTAATTAGACAATTACAGGAAACAGCTTCCCAGCAGCTGGCATTTCCACTGTGTGAGCGGAGGAGGGATGGCAACAACTGTGAACTCCTCACATTTATTACAGAAAATATTATTGGAGTTTATAGTCGTGGGTGCCGTGCTCTCCTCCAGCGCATTCTGATGAGCTGTGAGCATTAAACCAAGAGCAGAGCTCCTCCTCTCCGGGGCTCTTTAGGGCCTGCTTGCTGGGCTTTAAATGAGCTGGTTTTTGAGCCCACCCAGAGTCTGGCTGGTGCTGAGAGTAAGCCCTGGGGCGGGGGCGAGGGGTGGTGGGGGGGTACATTTGGAAGCAGGAAAGAGGAGGTCGGGGAGGCCTATGGAGAAACAGCCTCTCCTTCCCCAGGTGCCATCATCTGCATGGGGCAGTGTTCAGACAGAAGAGCCTTGGGTTTCACATGGCACAGAGTGACCCCTACTTCTCCCTCTCCTTTCCTGCCCTGCCCCGTCAACTTCCTGCCCTGGTTCAAAACTCCTCCCAGAAGCCCCCATACCTCTTAGAGGCGTGCCCCCTCAGCCAACAGCCCCTGAGGTGGGCCCATTTCACAGATGAGGAAATGTATTGGATGAACCCCACCGACCTTGATCACTTTTCTCTTTGGCTACCCTCGTGTCTCAGCGTGGACTTGGACTGTACTCTGTGCCTGTTGATGGCGAGCTTTGTTAGAATCCCAGTTGCCTTGACAGAAGGTAGGAGTACTCTGAGTGGGGATGCTAGGTACTGACCGCCTCTCTCAGACACACATGAGGTGGCATCCCGTTCCATTCCCCCAACTGTCCTACACTGCAGGCCTCCTGAGGATGGAAGGCAGGAGCCCTCAACATCTAACCCCCCACCGGCACTGTTGGCTGGGTTAATAGTACCGTCTAACCAGACACACGGTTGTGCTTCCTCTCACAGGTCCTGGCAGTCTGTAACTTTTGAGAGACAGCCCGCCTCCTTCATCCGAATCGTGGGAACACACAACACAGCAAATGAGGTAAGGGTCTCCATTCATGAGCGATGCTGTGCTGTTTCCTGACGTACAGGTAAATGCTACATCCTGAGCTAAGTAGAACTGTTTGTTCTCCCTGCTAATGGGCTGTTGTTCAGAGAGCCTGGTACACAAGAAAGTCCTGCTCTTGCACAGTGGGGATATCATTATCATTTCTAGATGGCTCTTCACTAGGAAATGAAAGCCAACTCCTGTGGCTTTGCTTACTCCCACCAGCCTCCTTGTGGAATTGGCCACCACAGAGACCTTGAGAGGTCACATGCCCTGTCCACAGAGTCGTCCGTTTTCCCAGACGACAGCTATTCCAGAGGTCCCTTGGCCCTCTGAACATGGTGTTTAAGGAACCTCAGCCCCACAGGAGCCACCATGGCAGACAGTTGCTGGTTTTCTGTCTGTTCTGTCCTATGCTAGGCTGCACAGAAATGCTTATGAATGGGCCTGTTCCTCCCCTGGCACCCAAGCCCAGATTGTTCCAAGGGACCACACCGTTTGTAGGTGTTCCTTCACTTTGGGATTTCATGAGGGAAGAGTGGCTGGTTTTTTCTCCCATTTTGAGCACCCACAATCAGGATAGCAGTCAGGTTAAAGGCCTGATCCTCAAACATTGCCATGCTGTTTTCTCTGGAATGTAAATGCCCCAGAGAAATGCACTGGGTTCCTCTGGTTCAGAAAACAGAGGACAGGGGCTGCCTGGGTGGCTCAGTTGAGGAAGCATCTGACTCTTGATTTCGGCTCTGGTCAGGATGTCAGGGTCGTGGGATTGAGCCCCATGTCAGGCTCCACACTGGGCATAGAGCCTGCTTGAGATTCTCTCTCTCCCTCTCCCTCAGCCCGTCTCCCTGCTTACACTTGCACGTGCTATCTCTCTAATAAGTAAATAAATAAAATCTTTTTAAAACATAAAAAATAAATGAAGAAAAAAGAAAGGAGAAGACAGTGCCCTTAGTGAATAGAGAAACCAGGACACCTGAGTGTGAGGGAGGCCGCCATGACTAATTATACCGGGACAGCCAGAATAAACCAGGACTGAGCCAGGCGCACCTGGACTGCCCTCCCCTCCACAGTGTGGCTTTCCGTTGTGCTCATGGAGGCACCTGGGCATTCACGCACACCATTTAAGGTGAGGCCAGTGTCAGTCAACACAGTAGGGTGACTGCTTACCTTTTCTGTTCTTTGAGTGGGTGTTGAGTGAGCACTGGTGGCTGGATGGTGGTGTCTAGTGTATGGCCACGCTGTTGACTTCATCTGCTGATCACGCCCTTGCTTTTTATGCTCGTGTGTGTTTAGTGTGAACCTCTGAAGGACTGCTGGTTAAAGACAGGAATCATAAGGAACCATAAGACTGAAATGGGAAATGAAAGGCAACAAAATGGTAACCGCTCTGCAGCTTCCCCTTAAGCTGCTCTTTCTCAGATCTGTCCGGGGCTGGCTTCCTGGGCATGTGACCAGAGCAGTTGCGTGGGGCTCCACACCCAGAAAAGGGCTCTGTGCTTGGGGTTTAATGCTCACCAGTACCATCTCGAGTGCTTCACAATTTGACCTATCCCTTTGTTCTTGTAAGGGCAGCTGCTTGGGACGATGGAGCATTCACCTGGGGCTGCGAGCCTCAGCTCGAACACAGGCCCCTCTGGCCTTCCCAGGACAGGTTCTCAGCCACCCACCCTCCACTCCCCGTGGGGGCCTAGCACGTTTGCAGGGAGGGTCCACGTCTAGTATGAATTTCACCTGCATCATAGGATAGGGCCCGGGCACCTGTGAGGGTCTGACCTGGCTTCAGGAGTTCCCCTGGCCAAGGGATTGCAACAGGAAGTAACAAAGGAAAAGCCTGTGTCAGGTCAGGAGAGAAACTGTGGGAGGAAAGAAAAAGCTTTTTTCCTGCTTTTTGAATAAGAGGCTCTACATTTTCATTTTGTGCTGAGCCCTGCATATTACATAGCTGGCCCGGTTGGTGCATTGTGTTTGTTAAATCAGAATTCTCCAGAGCACGTCAAGGTGTTTCTGGTACTTAAGAACGCATTTTAAAAAGTGAAAATATTGTGATAATTTATATTCATTTTGCCTTTTTATTCTTTTAGAACAAAAATGATACATGCCTACAATGTGTTTCTTGCAGGGAAGAGCTGATAAACAGAAGCTTGAAACTTTCTCTCTTACCTCTTTATTTCACAAATCTGAAAATTAAAAAAGTAAACAAATTGAGATTTTTCTTAAAGCACAAAATTAAAGAACTCTATACATCAGGTCATAAAAAGCACCCTTTTCTTTGATGAGGCAATAAAAGTATATTTGAATCTGTATTTTAATATATATTTGAGCCCCAAACCAAATATCATATTTTAAAATATTTTTTTCTTTTTTAAAAGTTTTAATTCCCATATAGTTAACATAAAGTTTTATATTAGTTTTAGAAGTACAATATAGTGATTCAGCAATTCCATACGTTACTCAGCATATTTTTTGCCTAGAAATCCCAATTTTTCTTACCACTTAAACTTACATTGTTACATGTTTATTATGTACCAAATCAGAAAACAATTTATCTTTCCATAATACTAAATCAACGTAAAACTGAGTATTTTTCATTTGCAGTCACTTATTTCTTATGTAATACATCCAAAAAACCCAAGCAGTTCTGTCTTTAATTCCTCTGTGGGATTCTGCAGTTAGGTATTCCAGCGGAAGGAATTCTGGGTCAGAGAAGGCCAAGGAGTGAGTGGGGTGAGTCTGATGAGTGTCTCCCAGAGTTTAGCCCCGACCCTATCCCCTCAGTGACCTTATAAAGAACAGTTTCCCATTACAGAACCCTGAAGTGAGAGTACAGATGAGCTTCCTGAACTGTGTGGGGAGATCCAACCCCACTGACCAGCCTGTTTGAATGGGTTGACTAGTACGCCGCTAATTAATCGGTGATCTGTTGCATTTGGCTCACGATCCTCAGTGTGGTATTGCCAACTGGGGAACCTCTTAAGTCATAAAATAAATAATGAATGGGGTCAAAAGGCAGGACCCACATACTGTCTCTCTCAGAGCACATAAGAAGGTACAAAAGTGCTGAGTCTCCCTGGGAATCAAGAATGCAGTGGACTCTCAAAGACCGCACTCTTTTCTCCATGGGCCGCTTTCTGGGGCTTCGTTTTGGACACAGCATCACGTGTCTTCGAGAACAGCGGGAATGTGTACACATCAGTGTGGTGATGTTCAGAGGTGAGAGAGACCAGGCTGCACTAAGGGAAGAGGAGTGACTGAGGTTGGTCCAGCAGGACTCCTGGGGAAGGCAGCCCCAGGGAAGAGCTCAGATGGCCCAGACAGCCAGGGAAAGGAGGCTGGGGGCACAGTCAGGAAATGAAAATGGCCGGGGGTCTGGACAAGCCCCATCCCGAGTCCCACAGAAGCCAGAACCCCGCCGTCAATCAGAATATTAGAGTCAGGGTGCTGCTTTCTCACAGGTGAGGGTGGTAGAGGGAGAGGCGGGGTTTCCTCAGCCTGTCACTGCTTGTTTGCCAGGTGATGTCCGTGGCCTCCCTTTAGTTAGAGCCAGGACCTTTAGAGACTGAGTGTTACCAGAGGCTTTTGGAAATTTCAAGAAGTGCAGCTGGGACTGGCTTTTAGCATGTGTGGATAATGGAAAGAGAAATGTGGGTGAATACCTTTGCTTCCCCCCCCTCCCCCCGCAGAAGATTGTTTTCTGCAGCTGCTGCCCCTTCCTGAGAGGAAGTCAGGCAGGGGATGGCAGAGGGAGCATCGCTCAGAGGTGCCTGTGACTTGAGGAGCATTCCAGGGGGTGGTGGTTGGGCGGTTTGGGCAGAGCATGGAAAATGCCAGCGCAGTGTGTCCCTGGGAGGGGGGCTTCCGGCTGCTGTGGGACTGGAAACCACCCCGACATCCACATCCCTCCTGCTGCTGGACTAGCAGAACCCCGCCTCCCCCCAAGCTAAACCTGGGATTCCTTGCCCAGTGTAGACGTGTGTGTCCTGCCCCTGTGGCCAGGCCTTCCTGCGTGCGAGGCCCACCTGCGGTCGCCAAGTGCTGGTCTCCAGGCCTCCCTGCTGTGGGGCATTCGGGTGACAGCAGTGTCAGCCACCGTGGAGCTTCAGATTTCTTGATAACCTGTTTTGGCACGCTTCTGATTTCCTGCAGCATTTCATCCCTGTCCTCTGGGAAGTGTCTGTCTGCTGCTGGCATCTGTCTCTCATCTTCCTTTGTGAGCGCAGCAGCGAGGAATTCATTTAATTTTTTAGCTACATTTACGACTCCTGTCAATAAATTTCCCTAATGCTTACCTCACAGCCTCCTCCACTTCCTTCAGTGACCTCCTGCCCTTGTGTACTTGGCATCACCCTTGCCATTTATCTTCGCTCCCGAGAACATTTTCCTCTCTTCCCCACAGCGTGTGCTTTGTCATCCTCCGCTCTGCAGTCTCCCCTGTGCCGGGCGCGCCTCTCACACGGCTTGGGCTCCTCTCCTTTACCCTCGGATGCCTCTCTTGCATGTCTTCTGTGCGCTCACAGGGTCTCCTTTGTCTCCCTGTCACGCTTAGCACTAGATGGCAGACACGTGTCTTTCAGCACAGCCGCCCTCTCGTCCTGCTCCCCTTTGGTTGCTTCCAATTATCCAACTGTCCCCGGGGCCGGCAGCCAGCAAGGTCCTCCTTGGCTGCTTCCTCGGGCACGTGACGCTGGTCCCGGTGCCCGGCTGGCGATGGCGTGCTCATGCCAGTGCGGCGGCCCATCGGCCTCGACCGCTCATCAGCTCTGAGTGCCCTGGAGGCAGACGGTGCTCCTCTCTCCAAGCCTCTCTTGTCTGACAAAGGGTAGAACCGGGGCCCATGGACAGCGCCCCACGCGCCTTGGCCAACCCGAAGCTGCCGCTCTGGTGACTGCCGCCGAGCCGTGCTGGCTGGGATGCGCGCCCCGAACAGGCCCCTTGGTTTCCATTTCAGTAATGATGGTAGCAGAGCCTCACACCGCCATCCCTGGAGATCAGAT